TAGGCTTGGAGAATGGCTAATAACTCTGCTGTGTTTGCATGTGAGTAGTTTGCATATTGGAATTTCTTAGTGCTTTGTGTGGGCTGTGTTGTATGGATACCCAGCCCTGTTATTTTGTTTTTACTGTTGTATATGATGCATCTGTATAGATGTGTGTATGTTCCGGCCGGTTGTCGTGGATATAGTTAAGCAATATTGTTCCCTTTTCTATGTTTGTAAGTTTGTTATGCTTGTTGAATATTTTGGCTAGAGATGTGTCTGTTTCGGGGGGGGGGGGGGGGGGGGGGGGGGGGCGGCGGCTATCTTGAGGGCCTTATATTGTAATGAATTGAGCTTTTTTTCCAGTTTATCTGTTAAAGAGTGGAGAACCGGAGCGGCGTAATCTATTTTTGCTTGAATAAGAGTTTTGTATATGTTTAATAGTGTTTGTTTGTCAGCTCCCCAGTGAGAGCCGCTGATGGCTCTCATTAGGTTAATATCTTTTTGGCAGGAGTTGACCACGTTATTGATGTGGGGAGCCCATGTAAGATGTTGGTCAAATGTGACTCCTAGGAATTTTGCTTCTTTTTGGAATTTAATATTTTCTTTATGAAGTGTAAGTTTGGGTGTTAAATTTGGCATAAAGGGTTTTTTGAAGACAATGCCGATGGTTTTTTTGGTGTTAATTTTGAACCCCCATTGGGAAGCCCAGTTTTCTAGTTTCGAAAGAGTTGGTTTGATTCTATTTTCAATTTGTTTTATGGATGTTGATGACGACCAAAATGATATATCATCAGCGAATTTTGCTGTGGTGGTATTTTTGGGGGTAGATGGGAATATGTCATCAATCATTAGATTAAATAGGGTGGGGGACAGGATACTTCCCTGGGGGGTGCCATTTTCAAGAGTGTGGGGGTCTGATATGGTGTTGCTTGACTTTACTGTTATGTTTCTGTTATTTAAGAAAGAATGAATGAAATTTAGAATTCTCCCATCAATTGCTTTATCTATTAACTTTTGGATTAGGCCTTGTTGCCAAACCATATCAAATACTTTAGAAAAATTTATAAAAATGGCCACAGTGTATTGTTTTTGTGCTTGAGCTGTCCTGACATCATGTTCCAAATTTAAAATTTGATCTAGGGTCTGTCTGTTTGCTGTAAAGCCACTCTGGTCCTCTTTTATAAGGCTATTGTTTTGTATTTTATGCTTTAGTCTGTTGTTTATTACTGTTTCCATGATTTTACATAGATGAGATGTGAGAGAGATAGGGCGATAGGAATCAGGGTCATTTGGGGATTTCCCTGGTTTTAGAATTGGCACCACTAGAGCATTTTTCCATGTTTTGGGGAGGTGGCCAGAAGTCCAAATCTGATTGTAAAGTTGAAGTATTAATTTTTGAATTTTGATGGGGACATGATTTAGAATTTTGTAACTTATGTTGTCTAATCCAGTGGCTGGGGCTGTGTTTTTGCTTTTTAAAGCGTTTTGGAGTTCGTGGATGTTGATGAGTTTATTTATGGCAAGGTGTGAGAGTGGTGATCTGTTTTGAAATGCAGGTTGAGTGTTTATAGTGTCTTGTATGTGTTTGGAGTGGTTGGCGGAGCTGCTTACGGCCGAAAGATGGGCGGCCATGGCATTAGCCTTTTCTTTGTCTGTTTTAAGTAGGGGAAAGTTGGGCGAGTTGAAAGATTTGGCAATGCCTTTTATTGCTTTAAGTTTATTCCACAGAATTTTTGAATTTTGTTTGCCCATCCTCAAGGTTGATGTAAAAGTTTGCCAATGGTTTCTTTTTGTTGCCATGATTAGTTCTTTGGTAATATTTCTTTCTTTATGGGCCAAATGGAGTTTAGTTCGATCATGTTTAGCCTTATTGAGAGCTTTTTTCCTAAGTTTTCTAGATTGAATAATTTCAGGGCTCCACCATGGTACTGTATTATGTGTGGGTTTTATTTTGGTTGTAGGAATGCATTTAATGGATATGTTGTATAGAGTATTGCTGAGGTTTGTGTTGAAGGTGTCGATGTCGGTACTGTGTATGTTGTGTGTGTCTATTTGGTTGCATAATGTGACGACCTCCTGCCAGTCAGCTTTAGTAAAGTTGAATTTAGTTTGTTTAGGGGAGTCAGAAGTGGGATTGGGGTCAGATAGGGGCTTGTCGGGAAGGATATTTATAGAAATTTTTATGGGGAAATGATCACTACCCCAGGTGTCATTGTGGGGGTCCCATGTGAGTTTTTGGAAAAGTTGGGGGGTGGTAATGGATAGGTCCACTGCAGTGGGAGATTGTAAATGGCTGGTAGGGAATCTTGTGGCTCTATTGTCGTTTAAGCTTAAGAGATTTTTGGTGTCTAACCATTCTATTATGTATTTTCCAAATCTAGTTGGTTTATTGGGTGGTCTTGGCTCTATCTTGTCGAATGAATGTGTAGCCTGGCAATTTGAAGGCTTTTTGGGGAAATAGTTTTGTTTCTTGTACTGCTGTTACATATGGGGCAATTTTGTTTAGGGCGATGAGGGCCTTAAGTTCATGCCCATTAGTATTGAGACCATTACAGTTCCACTGCAAAAACACCATGTGATTTGTAGATTTGTGGGGATGTTAAGGCCAAATGCATGGTGCTAATATTCTGGCCGGTTTGGGTAGGTGTTCCTGTTTGATGTGTTTGTTGAGCCGGAGGATGTGTTGTTGTTTGAGTGGGCAAGTATTTTGTGTGGCTGTATGACCTTCAGCTTCACACTGTATACAGTAGGCCGCCCATGTGCACTCTGGGGTTTCATGTCTGAGGGACCCACATTTCTGGCACATGGGCGGTTGTCGGCAAGTGGCTGTAGTATTGTTGTAAGAGTGGCATATGTTGCATTGTGGTGGGTTTTTCCTTATTGGATTAATTTTGTATCTGAGTGCTCCGAAAATTATGTGTGTGGGTAGTGTGGTGCTCTTGAAAGTAAGGAAGATAGTTTGTGTTGTGGTTCTGCCTGGTATGGGTGTTCTGTTATTGATGCTCTTGTAATCTGTGATTTGGGGTTGTGTGTGGAGTTGGTTTGCTGTTTGGATGTACTCTAGTATGTCTTCTTGTGTGTCCCTATGGTCTATGTATATAACCCCCTGTATAGATGTGAGCCATTTTGGTGTTTGCCATGTTATGTTAAGACCATCTATCATTGTTTGTCTGCGTGCTTGGTTGAGTGTGTCTTGTGAAGGAAAGGTGATCTTGAACCCCCTGCCACATCTGTTTATGTATTTGTATGATATATGTACTTTTTTCAGGCAGAGGGCGAATTTATTGTTTGAGAAGGTGTCGTTGAGTGGTGTGGTGTTGGTTGAGAATGCCAGTAGTATAAGTTTGTTTTGGTCTGTTGCTGGAGACTGTTCAGATGTTGAGGTGGATGGGGGTGTTTGCTTGGACATAGTCTAAATATTGAGTTTTTGAACAATTTTTTTTTCATTTTTTCTTCCTTGGTATGTTCCCATGAAAACTGCATGTTTAATTTTGTAAATACCTTTAACCGAGACTGGGCAAAGACCGTAGAGTTTCTGGACTTTTGGGTTTCCAGAATTAAAATGGGACGTGTTATTTGCATTCGGAACTCTTTCATTACAATCGTTTTCGTGATTCAGAAATCAGATATGCTTGTCTGAATGTTTGGAATACTCGTACCGAGAATTTAAAAGCCTCGGCGTTCTTTAATTTGTAGCGACCCCCCATGAAGGTGTTGTCAGATCTTTACACAGAGTCAGGGTCATACCTGGGTCAGATAGATGTGGATTCGAATGTTTGAAATGACATTCACGAACTTGCACAAGCACAAACGTCAACGTATGCCATAGAGACCGTGGCATGCGAATCGGGAAATTTTAAAAACGACATTCCCTTAATGTTTCACCGTACATATTGGAAAATAGCAGCATAAAAATAGCCTGTACAATCATGTTCTCTAATATGCTTTCAGGTCATTATTGTGTAATAAAAACCGTTCATAATTTCAAACATTCAGCTTAATGATACCGGTAGAATTACAAACGGTCTTGAAATTGTATTTCTATATGTTCAAGCAATCTGTAAGAAATGAACCCTTATATAAATATACCCTTATGGTAATGATGAAATATAGCGTTACCAAATTGGTATTTATATGTAGCGTGTAGACTGTACACATATGCAAGCTTGACAAAGTAATAAATAATAATCAATATACAGCTAAAACTTTTCTGTGACCTGCAACCATGCAACTGTTGAGTCACTGTCAAGGTCAACCAAATCAATATCAATCAACTTTCACTGGAAGTTGAAGTTGTTTAATCTGTTCAACACATGCTATACTGCATGATGTGATTGATTTTAGTATATCATATACGCACACCATTATATATCATAGACGTCCTCGGTGGTATAGTGGATATATCGTTCGTCCGGAGAGAGGAAGGTCATTGGCCGCGTCATACCAAAAGACGTTAAAAGACGGCACTTGTTGTTTCAATGCCTGGCGCTCGTCTGGTAGCCCCGGAGTCAGTATGCTGTATCTGAGTGGAATATCCACGTTACTTTGCGGCTTGATATGTCAGTGGGCTAGGACTATAAAAGCGGCATCAGTGCAGACTGGTATAAGCAGCCGCACGCACACACGCACGCACGTACGCACGCACACATACAGACAGAAACAAACACATAAACACACACAAACAAACAAACACACACAATCAAACAAACACACGCACACACACATACAAAGACACACACACAAACACATACAAACACACACAAACTCATACAAACACACGCACACACATACGCGTCCGTGTGCGCCTGCGACGCTAAACCACATTTCACATCACCTCAAACTATGAAGGCTCCGTTAAGGCTGGAAATGATAACATTTTCCTTACAGCCCAGACAATCATGACATTCACGGAACAAACGTTAAAACCTGATTTCTTTACCAGACAGAAGAAACGCTTTGAACACACAGAACACAGAGACATATGGCGGGATGATGAGTTAATTGAACACAAGTTTTACCAATCGGGAGATCGGTGGTAGCCATTCCACCCTGATGACCACCGGAGGACTTCCAGAAGCTAGTCCTGCACCGTAACGCTATCTTGTTAACCGGTATGTAGTGGGCAGCAGCAATGGCACGGTGCTTCTCGGGAGAGAAGGGGACGTTCATCTGCCGGAGGATGGGGAGAGGAACGGTGATGATGACAGCGTCCCCCGTGTAGGTTACAGAGTCATCTGATACCTCGTCCCATCCCGTTACCATGGCAAGCTCTTCGCCGCCTTCAGACATCACCTGTGTTGTTATGTGACAGAGCAGTTAGTGATTATGAGCTCTCTGAAATCTACCCTTTTCAGCACTCGGACAAATTACAGTCAGTTAAAGAAGCCATCGAACCGGACCACCCGATCCAATTAGGTCGCCTTCAAGACCAACAATTTGTTACGGCCTGACAAATGAACGTTGTAACCAAATGACTGCACAGTAGACGGTCATCGTTATTGTTTCGTTTTCATATAACAGGTTTTCATATAACACGTCTGACCGTTTTGATACTGACCTTCTCAACAGTGTAGACCCGTACGCCGTATTTGATACATCTGCTAAGATTAACATCAGGATTCCAGCCATTTGGGGTTGGCCGCATGAAAGCAAGTGGTAGTGCATCCATCCCGTCGCGGGCAGTGTATACAGGTTCCAACATGAACCTGCCCATGTCATTACGGAGAGTCTCAATCAGACTGTTGTTAAGGAAGGACGCAGCATAGCTGAGATAGATATATCCTTCAATGGCTATTTGTGGCCATGGCCTCAGTTTATGAGACGTCGCCTGGTTGATGTCAGTATGAAGGAACTCGTGGAGAGACATGGAACTCCACTTTCGCACCCAGAGATCCCAGCCACTTGTACTCCCATCTTGCATTAGCTCCTTCATCACTGGAGCAATAGTCGCCTTCCAGTAGGACACTGAAAGTAAAGGAAGCCTTAAAACCAGGAAACATTTTGCCTGCATCGCATCCATCTCTTCAAACATTAGGAGAATGAATGTTGTTTCCGCTGCAATCAGCAGTATTTCTACAATGTCACTATGACCTGTAAATAATCGACTTTTAAACAAACAATCAGAAACTGAAAGAATGTTCTTGGTTGACTTTAAGGGCATATGTGGTATACTTGTGACCTTGTATCCCCCGGTCACAAGAAGATAACATTGCAGGAAATGCCATCAACTGCCAAGGTATACATTCATACCAGTCAGCCGCGGCCAGTCAGTCCCAGTTTTTGCACCAGTATCTCCCCTCCCCTTCCGCAATCAATCCCTATCCTCCGTTCCCCACCCAAACACTACCTCAATACCCAACCCCATCCCTCCCTCCATACCCCATCCAACGCTACCTCTATATCCCACCCCAACCCTCCGTCCAAACCCCACCCTAACTAACCCTCCATACACAACCAAAACCCAATCTCACTACCCCAATCAAGCCCTACCTCCACACAAAACCCAAACCCTGCTTCCATCACCCTCCCCAACCCTCCATCCAAACCCCACCCCAACCAACCCTCCATACACAACCAAAACCCAACTTCAATACCCCAATCAAGCCCTACCTCCACACAAAACCAAAACCCTGCTTCCATCACCCTCACCAACCCTCAATCCAAACCCCACCCCAACTCTCCGTCCAAACCCCACCCCAACTCTCCGTCCAAACCCCACCCCAACCCTCCGTCCATAGTCCATCCCAACCCATTCTCTATGCAGCACACAAAACCTCCCTCCATACCCCACCCCAAACATCCCTCAATACCCCACCTCAACCCTCCGTCCAAACCCCACCCCAACCATCCCTCAATACCCCACCTAAACTCTGCCTCCTACCCATGGCCAACCCAATGGGATGAGAAGTACCAAAGGGTCTTAAATAAAATAATTTACTTACTTATGTCGGATATATTCAAAGCTTCTTTGATTTGAGGGGTGATATTGTTGTCCCATCCCTTCCAGTGCTTGTCACAGTAAAAGCCAGGGTTCCGATTCCTCTCTTTACCGAATTTCAAAACAGTTCAAATGTCAAAATTCAATTTTAATTTTTCTCTGTTTTCGAAATTATAAAATGACCTAGTGAGTACCTAGCGACCTCCTATATTCTTCATTTTTCTTCTCAATGGTTAAGTTTGAATATTCGTCTGTATAATTTAGAACTACACAGGCGACTGGTTTTAACACAGAGCAAAGCCAAAACTCTTGTCCTCTCTGACCAAATAATATCATTTGAATTTACCACCATTTACATCTATGCAATTTCTAATGCAAATTTATAATTATTTCAATTGCCGTATCTAAACGTATACACTTATAACTTGTTGCATAGACATTGTTACCATTTACAATTAAAGTAATCGTAATATTTTAGCTTTTGTGTTAAACGGTAATCTGATCGTACCAACCGCATTGGCGGATGTAAACACAAAAGTCACTCCCCTCAGCATTAAGACTCATGAAGCGTGTATTTTTATAGATGATAATGGCCATGTGTTGCTATGTCGTCAATTAGCTTATCGTTTTGTATTTTAACCTGGTCCATAAACATAAGTACTTTACTTTGTTAACTAGTGGTAGTGTCATAGTCTCGACTTTGTCCTGTTTCTGTAGTGATTAGTGCAATCTTTAGACATCTCTTTCATCAACCTGTAAATAGACATGGATCAATATCTCCCTCTTGCAGGACATAGAAACCCAGTTGGACATGGAGCAATAAATTTCTTGCATGAAGAATATACATGTGTAGCCGGTTAAAGAGATAAAAAGCTCTCTTCAATTATTATTTCTGATATAAGATAAAAGACGTATACCTACCAGATAAAGTATGTTTTTCTCCGTGAATGTAGTACAGGCTGTGAGGGTTATTTTCTCTGAAAGGGCATTTGTGGACATTGAAATGTTCCATGTAATGAATCGTCAGGTAGTGGCTTGGTGGGAATCTCATCGCTCCAGCTGTTCAGTAAGATAAACGGTTTGGCAGATAATATTATCTCCCCTACTACAAAGAGTACGGCGATCTGATATTCTAAATCACAAAAACCCTGTTTTTAACATAGAGCAATATCTCACTCCTGCTCGACATTTATACGCAGTTGTACATAGAGAAATATCTCCCTCTTGCATGACATACAAACCCAGTTGGACATGGAGCAATATCTCCCTCTTGCAGGACATAGAAACCCAGTCTGGCATTGGGCAATATCTCCCTCTTCCATGACATAGAAACTAAGTTGGACATGGAGAAATATCTCCCTCTTGCAGGACATAGAAACCCAGTTGGACATTGAGCAATATCTCCCTCTTCCATGACATTGAAACCCAGTTTAACGTGGAGTAATATCTCCCTCTTGCAGGACATATGAACCCAGTAAGATATGGATCAATATCTCCCTTCTTGCATGACACATAAACCCAGTTGGACATGGAGCAATATCTCCCTCTTGCGTGACATATAAACCAAGTTAGACATGGATCAATATCTCCCTCTTGCATGATATAGAAACCCAGTTAGACATGGATCATTATCTCCCTCTTGCATGATATAGAAACCCAGTTAATCATGGAACAATATCTCCCTCTTGCAGGACATATGAACCCAATTGGACATGAAGCAATATTTCCCTCTTGCAGGACATAGAAACCAAGTTGGACATGGGGCAATATCTCCCTCTTGCGTGACATATAACCAAGTTACACATGGATCAATATCTCCCTCTTGCATGATATAGAAACCCAGTTGGACATGGAGTAATATCTCCCTCTTGCAGGACATAGAAACCAAGTTGGACATGGGGCAATATCTCCCTCTTGCAGGTCACATAAACCCAGTTGAACATGGAGCAATATCTCCCTCTTCCATGGCATAGAAACCCAGTTGGACATGGAGCAATATCTCCCACTTCCATGGCATAGAAACCCAGTTGGACATGGAGCAATATCTCCCTCTTGCAGGACATATAAACCCAATTAGATATGGATCAATATCTCCCTCTTGCGTGATATAGAAACCCAGTTGGACATGGAGCAATATCTCCCTCTTGCAGGCCATATGAACCAAATTGGACATGGAGCAATATCTCCCTCTTGCAGGACATAGAAACCCAGTTGGACATGGAGCAATATCTCCCTCTTGCAGGACATATGAACCCAATTGGACATGGAGCAATATCTCCCTCTTGCAGGACATATGAACCCAATTGGACATGGAGCAATATCTCCCTCTTGCAGGACATAGAAACCCAGTTGGACATGGAGTAATACATCCCTCTTGCAGGACAAATATACTCAATTGGACATGGAGCAATATCTCCCTCTTGCGTAACATAGAAACCCAGTTGGACATGGAGCAATATCTCCCTCTTGCGTGACAGAAACCCACTTAGACATTGAACAATATATCTCTCTTGCGTGACATAGAAACCCAGTTAGACATGGAGCAATATCTCCCGCTTGGGTGACATAGAAACCAGGTAACATGTGAGGAGAGTTGTATCGTCCTTCCTGCATTAAACATAACACATAATGCGTTATGCAAACCCCAGTTTGAGCTGTATACCCATACTTTATTCAACACACGTGATACAGCACTACATGCACAGGTCGACTGTTTTAATACAGTAATACACAACTACATGTCCAAGCACTCCTCCTGTTTTACACACAACCAGATATACCGTGAGCATTTTCAACCTTCCCCACCTTTCTCGACAACAAAACGCAACACAATATTCAAACAGAGCAAAGATTACGGCCTTATTTGTGTTGCGAACACAAAAACTAAGACTTTTCTGTATTTCTGCTTATTCTCAAATGACCGAAAGAAAAATGTCCGTTTGAAGAAAAATGTCCCATATGTATGTATAATCCCGCCCAGTACAGTACAGCAACACAGACTAAGGACGATGGGCAGCTAGTTAACCATATACCAACCGTCTGCGTAACCATATACCAACCGTCTGCGTGAAGTCCATTTGCGAATCTTATTGTTTTGATGCGTCCCCCGACTCTGTGTTCGCTCTCAAGAATGGTGACCTGCAAAATTCAACCACCTGCTGTTTTCATCTCAACTATAATCAGTGGTTATCACAACAATCTACAATCAGCTGCCACTGTTGCCATTCCTATCACACCAATGAACTTCTATCCCGACTACAAAGAGCTGCTACAGTTACCATCACGACTACAATCAGCTGCTACTGTTACCATTACGACTACAAGCAGCTGCTACAGTTACCACGACTACAAGCACCTGCTACAGTTACCACCCTGCTACAAGCAGCTGCTAAAGTTACCATCACGACTACAAGCAAATGCTACAGTTACCATCACGACTACAAGCAAATGCTATAGTTACCAACACGACTACAAGCAGCTGGAAACAAATACCATCACGACTACAAGCAGCTGCTACAGTTACCATTCTGCTACAAGCAGCTGCTATAGTTACCATCACGACTACAAGCAGTTGCTACAGTTACCATCACGACTACAATCAGCTGCTACTGTTACCATCACGACTACAAGCAGCTGCTACATTTATCATCACGACTACAAGCAGTTGCTACAGTTACCATGACGACTACAAGCAGTTGCTACAGTTACCATCGCGACTACAATCAGATGCTACAGTTACAATCACGACTACAATCAGCTGCTACAGTTATCATCACGACTACAAGCAGTTGCTACAGTTACCATGACGACTGCAATCAGTTGCTACAGTTACCATCGCGACTGCAGTCAGCTGATACAGTTACCGTCACGACTGGAATCAACTGATGTTACCTCACAACGAGCTGCGGTCCCTACGATTACAATGAGCTGCTGTTACCACCACGACTACAATCGACAGCTGTAACCACCATGCACACAATGAGCTGCAACTGTTCTCATCACGACTACAATGACCTGTTGTTACCACAACAGCAATCCCCTCACGACTTTCTGGGTTGAAAATAGGTCTTCAGCAACCTGTGCGACTAGGCTTGTTGTAAGAGGTGACTACGTTTTTATCGCCAAAAACATTCGTGGTGTGTGTGTAAGTGTGTGAGTGCGTGCGTGCGTGCGTGCGTGCGTGCGTGTGTGTCAGGAGGTGGTCTGGACGTGTAGGGTGTGGGGTCTAAGGGGTCATATGTTTCATTGGGTAAGAATAAGTCTTCAGCACCCCATGTTTGTCGTGAGAGGCGTCTATGTTTGTCAAGAGGCGACTTAAAAGGATAGGGTTGTCAGGCTCGCTGACTTGGTTGATGCATGTCATCGTATCCCAATTGCGTAGATAGATGCTCATAATGTCAATCACAGGATTGTCTGGTACGGACTCAATTATTTACAGATCGCCGTAAATATAGCTGGAATATTGCTGAGTGCAGCGTTAAAGAACCAACAAACCCGCAAACCACAAACAAACAAACAATCAGCGTCACAACATTTAGGCTCAGTCATATAGACGCACAGAATACCTCATGCCCAGCTTGTTGTAGCTCGTAAGCCGCAGCCAGGCCCGCCACCCCTGAACCCACGATAAGCACGTGTTTTGGTCGTCTGGTCACCTCTTGGAAGTATGGCGCCGGGTCGTCAAGGTCAGCGCCTTTGGCGCATGCGTAGTTGAGACCCCCGGTCGTTATTGTGTCAAAAAATGGCCTGAAGTTGTTGTCTTGTTGCAAGATGCTGGCTTTTGTTTCTTCATCTGGTAAATTGTGCATCAGAGAGTCAGCTATTCCAGAGATGCTCATCCTGTGACAACACTGTAAAGAATTGTAAACATTGGTGGGTCATAGGCTGAACAACACCCCGGTCACAAGCGGGATACGATCTCAGCACCTGGCACTTGCTACAAGCTTATACAATTGCACAACAAACTCATGACCTAAGTACACTGATATTCTTTTTTTTTATCATCAACAATTTATACAAAATAAATAATATATTTCTCAACGAAATCTTTGAACACTATACGAAAAGTTGACCAGGAACATCTGTGAATCAATAATCACGATATCTATCACTGGATTGCCTGGTCCAGACTCGAATATTTACAGTGAGTGAGTTAAGATTTAATGTCACATCGGCAGTATTTCAGCCATATCGTGACGAGAAGTACATTAATGATACATAGATTTAGACTAAATAAAAAGCTGTCGACGAAGGACAGTACAATAACTAGAATGTCACAGATTCGATTTAAAACTAGTTGAGAATATATAAAAGTCATAAGTATCAGTGAACAACACAATATAAAATTGGGCTAGGGATCGTCAGTAACTAAAGGGAGATCACCATACCCTTAGGGACCATGGGGACTTACAGTGCCTTTGCTTCCTGCATGGACCCCAGCAGGATTTATATCATCCCTTCAGTCACTGGCGATAGTTTACCAGTTAAGCCTAAGATTAAAATGACAAAAATGCTACGTTTTAAAAGTCTGGTATGCATAAAAATACTTCGAATGATTTGGGACTAATTTTACGCTTCTTCAACCCCCCTCGAGGGTACAGCCACGATTATTTACAGACCGCCGTCATATAGCTGGAATATTGCTGAGTGCGGGGTTAAACAACAAACAAACAAAAAACATCTGTGTTACTAATATTTAATCTACTGTTGGCAGCTTTCAATAAACATGATTCTATATCATTCCTAATACTTTGAGCTCTGATGTTGTCACAGTGACTTATTCTGGACAACCATTGTCCAAATGAACATTTTTAATTCCATAATCTAGTTTTTATGTAGCCGTGATATGTCTATATCTCCATGACTTAATTGCCATTGCATTGTTGTCAGCCAACCTGTGCTACTATGTCACTATGTACTGCTATTCATATATTATGACATCTATGGTCTCAATCAATTATCCCCTGGGCTGTGTCGGTAATCACGCACCGTCATTGTCTCTTTGTCTGTCTATAGTTGTCCATTACTAAATATGTGTTTACATTTATAATGTCATCTTCCCAAGGCAAGTGAGTTAACTGACTATAAAAGTCCAGTTTCCACCCTTGCCGAACTAGGCTGGAAATCCTGGGCTCGACCGTAGCGCCACCAGTGGCTATTGCGAGGTTATGTCCTTTCTTATGACCAATCAGATTCAACCTCTCGTATCACTTGCATTTGCTTCAAACAAAACGGTGGCGCCCAGTCAAGACGATCTGATCGATAATCAAGGTCTTTATTGGGATAAAACGAGTCTTAAATCGCGAAGTGCATCAAATCACGTGAGCACCTTGATTAAAAACATGAAAAGATTTAGAAAATATCTGTTGACAACGAGTTAGCGGTGCACATGTTTTGCAAATGCTGCAGTCGACCGAAATCTGCATGACACTTTACGAACCGGATTTCGATTTCGGTGCGCGATTTTGATAGGACTATGCATAGACTCGTTAGTCCAGCCAAAATGTAACTCCATAATACCAGCCTAGTTCGGCAAGGGTGGAAACTGGACTTTTATAGTCAGATAACTCACTTGCCTTGGGAAGATGTTAAAATGTTAGTCAGCTTGGTATTCCGAGTGCTGGAGTGCGGGCACCGCGAGCAGGATGTGGCGCCCGTAGGAAACGGCCTGAGGTAGAGCGGGAACTTCATTCCGCTTATCGTTATATTTGTGTTGCCAGAGCAGGTATTCCAGACATTGTGTATTTGTCGTTCATTGTTTATACGTTCTGAATTAAACGTTCCGGGACAGTGATTCCCCCAAGAGCTAATCCCCCCGTTAACATGTGTGTTGACATCTGGAGAATCAGGGTAGAGTAACTCTTGAGCCTACTACCGATCCAGTTACCTCACTTAATCAACTCAGGTCACGAAGGACGAAGAAACAAATTGAAGAAAACAACAAGAACCTCTACGATGCCAACTTTCCTGATCAAATGACCGCCTCCGTGGTCTTGTGGTAGAGCGTCCGCCCGGAGAGTGGAAGGTCCAGGGTTCGATCCCGGGCCGCGTCATACAAAAAGACGTTAAAAGATTGTACTTGTTGTTACCCTGTCTGGCGCTCGACATTAAGGGGCTAAAACAAGGACTGGTCGGCTCGGAGTCAGTATACTGTGTCTGAGTGGGGTATTCATGTTAAACTGCGGCATGGTATCTCAGTGAGCTAGCACTATAAATCGGCATCAGTCCGGACTAGTACAAGCAGCCACACACACACATACACGTGCATGCACGTCGCTATATAAGTGCAATAATCTTGGACGCGACGTTAAACCCAATTTCACCTCACCTCACCTCCTGATCAAATATCTTCGAAACACCGCTAAGACCCACAGCCATCATTGTACAGACCCTGCATCTATACAGAAACCGCCTCACGGGCACCTACAAGATGGACATTGTGTACCAGATTTCTCATCGGGACATCCTAATTTGTCTGAACCCTAAATTGACTCAATGCAGGATATATAATGTATGACTGTTGATAAGTGCAACAAGGTATGTTTGATCAAAGTAAGTAATTGTACTATACTGAACAACAAAAGTTCCTGTGAAATTGAATAAGATTTTATGCAGTTATGTTTTTACCAAAGCTGAAACAATTTCGGTTTGGAACAGATAAAAAACTCCTGTAAGTGTTCAAATGGTTTAATTTGCCATACTGACTTCAGAAAATGGGTGATTTCAATAAAAAAACATGAACATGCCAAAATGTCAATTTACAAATCAATAGCGTGTGTATCCACCTCTGGTTCAGACTGGTTGCGATGCAAGCAACACGTCTCATGGAATGGACCAGGCGCCGCACAAAGTCCTGTGGGATATCTGTCCATATCTGCTGGAGCATGTTTCGAAGTTCCTGGAGTGTCTGTGGAACACGTGGTTGACGTCGAAGGCGCCGATCCATCTCATCCCACATGTGCTTGATTGGTGAGAGATCAGGGGTGCGAGCCGGCCAGGAGATGACATTCACGTTGTTTTGTTGAAGAGTGTCCTGAACAAGTCGAGCAATATGAGGCTGGGCCTTGTCATGTTGAAAGGTAATGCCTGGGCCATGACGACGCCAAAACAGTAGAACAACAGGGCCGATGATCTCGTCGCGGTAGCGCTGTCCATTGCGATTTCCCTCTACCACAATCAAACGGGTCCTCTGTCTTGCTGTAATCCCACCCCATACCATAACGCTGCCGCCCCGAACCGATCTTCTTCCATGACACAATGACGTCGGTTCACTCGAATCCGTCCATCGCTGTGGCTGAGGTGAGTGACTCGTCAGTGAATAGAACTTGTCCCCATTGTATGGCCGTCCAGCGTAGACGCTGTCTGCACCACTGCAGACGTGCTTGACGGTGGTTTCCTGTCAAAATGGGACGTCTGGTGGGTCTTCTGGCGACAATCCCTGCACATCTGAGGCGACGGTTTGTGAAGATATTCGTCGAAGGCCAGGGATGCTTCTTGCAGTCACTGTTGCTGGCTGGAATCGATTTCGTAGGTGTTTTGTTCGAACCCAGTTGTCTTGTCGATTATTGGTTACGCGTGGCCTGCCACTCCGAGAATGGTCTCTGACGGCATTCGTCTGTTGCCAACCTTGCCATAAATACCAAATGGTGTTTCTGTGGACGTTAAATTGTCTTGCAACATGACGTTGACTCGATCTTGCTTCAAGCATACCAATGGCTCGCAGACGCTCATTTTCGGAAAGGCGTGGCATTTCGTAATGTTGAATAATTGCGAAATTTTGTTGTTTTTCTGAGTGGTTGTTGTCAGCACGATGCTAAACAATGCATATGGAATCGCGTTAACGCACATGTTTTTATATCCATTCATGGGTAGTGAAATGCATGGGGCTGCCACAAAAGTCAACTTTTGCATGGAATGCATGCTTTTCTGTAGCAGTTGCGTTTTTCTGACTTGATTCCATACATATACTACAATATTGAAAACCAAACTTTACTTCTTTGAAAAATACACTAAAATATTGGTGTCACAGGAACTTTTGTTGTTGAGTATATATTATTATTATTATTATTATTATTATTATTATTATCATTATTATTAAATTTGTCATTCCAAAACGTATTTATGTATGTGCGCAATTTACTTCAAATTATATTTTTAGTCAAGCTAGGTCCTTGAAGTTAAATATGTAGGGAATCTTTGAAATACCTCCAGGCCACGCCAGACATGTAAGTACAGCTAGGGTATGAATAATTCTAAGCAGTGGGGTTATCGAGTCACACCTTAAAGCTAGACCCGTAATTGAAAATATCTAAACGACAAAGTCATTTGTTACAAGTTTTCAATGTGCACAGTTTGGTACCACGTTTTGTTCTGTTGTCAGAGCAGGCATTTGTGCTCAAAGAGCACAAGGAAAGAATTAATATTGTTCATACCACTGTAGGTATTTCGGTCCGAATACGTCCGAGCACCACATGCATACAACTGGAACAACTGGCTCTGTGACTGACATGACTTTGTATGTTTGTAAATGTTAATCGGGTCACGTGCTTACGCAGGTAGTTCGTTTCGTGCTGTTCGTGATTAGACTATTGCTATTGCTTTACACCACTTAAATATATAATAAATACAAATATTTTGCAAAATATGTAAGAAACTTCGATGAATAGATAATTAGGTTATGGGGGCTGTAAAGTGCATACTCGAATGGAGGAAATGTCTCTCTCCATCGCAGCCTATCCGTATCTCCATGAGGTATTGGCGTCTCCATGATCGTTTATCAGACCCCGTGTGAGGTATTGACTTCCATGATCGTATATCAGACCCCGTGTGAGGTATTGTCGTCTACATGGTCGTTTATCAGAACCCCTGTAAGGTATTGCCGTTTCTCCCATACCAGGGCTTGATCTTCAATCGCCAGCAGTGGTTAATTCGCAGTGGTTTATTTTTATTCACCCAATCTGATTGGCTGGCTGAGAGTGGAGAGCTGTGTCATCGCGTTTTGATTGGCTGGCTAAAAATAATAAGTTTTTGAAAGATGTCTTGATGTAACTGTAATATTGCCATTCACCATGAAGCACCCATCATCCAAGATCCACCCCATCCATATAGCACATACAGATACTCTCAGCAGGACACCCTATTGAACGCCATATTTAGCGCTCCTCCCACCGTGGGGATTCCATTCCGATATAGTCTCCAGCAACTTGTGCTTGTCGTATGGCGCGACTAAAAGGACCATGTGGTAAGCCTCAGGAACCTGTTTTGATGCATTCTTTCATACCCCAACGGATTGTTGGATTGTTACTCATAATATCACTCACTGGTTTGTCTGGTCCAGACTCGATTAAGTGCGGTAATCAACAATAGACTAAAAATATCAAGCATTACAGCCACACTAGTAAACACAATATTTCTCTTACTTTTTATTCCTTAGACAAAAAGGAAATAATACATTCCCAAAATAATGAAGATTTGTGAACATTTGCATATATTTACATCTATTTTTAGGTATTTGTTTGAAAGTTCCTATTGAACACATTGATGTAAGAACGTAGTGAATAATAATATATACAATTAACTTACTGGATGTGCAGAAACTAGTGGTATAAGGCCACTTGGAACAGTAATTCATGGCATGTCAGCTTGGCGTGTGTGTGTGTGTGTGTGTGTGTGGGGGGTGGGGGGGGGGGGGGGGGGGGGGTGGTGGTGGCAGTAACAAACCTAGAAACATACTCAGGCGAATCTGGGATCCGAACCCACGATATAGGGACACAACTATGCATAGCAAGTTCCGGTTCCGGTTCCAAGTTATGCAGTTACGTGCACACATAGTTATAAACAAGTAATAAATTAGTAAGTAATGCATACGACAGCATTTTGGGGATTACAACTTCAAGTAGCGTTTCCCACACAAGACGGGCGTAACGGCTACAACGGTCAGTCGAGTACACGCCTGTGATTATAACCTTGGCATTCACTTCACTATTACATTGTTATTACTGGGTATCGGTAGTATCGTTGCATCAGAAGCTCGGAAGATGCTACTATAACCGAAAATCGAACGTTGCAGGAGAATCTTTCCAAGGAAAGTCCTTGCATTATCCACTATAAGGGAAAAGCATGGTGAATACTTTCTGTGAGGAACCTAGGACTACCGATGGTTGTGCTCAGGTCACACTGCAGAATGCAGGTATGCCTCACTATAACATTGATCATTATTATTATTATATGCATACTACATACATGTATAATACATACTGTAAATATGAGTGTATAGCAATACTATTTGCATGTCTCACTAAGAAAAAGTGACTTATTTATACTACCCATCATTTGCTAAGAACCAAAGTAATCTTTAGTCAAAGGTGTGGTCCTTAGTAAATGTTGAGTGGTGTATTTTGTTATATTCAGTTTCGTTTGGGTAAGCAACAGAAAGTTACAGTAGACCATGGCTGATCAAATACAATGTCATGTAGAAACAATGTACCATGCCTGTGTGTGGTAAGCGGTGGCCATGATTTAAGATTAGCTGTTTCAGGACGTAGCGAACGTGTGTTCACTTTCCTCAGTAGTTCGTTACGTTCCGAGTTGACGGGAGTCATAGTTGTTGCACTGAACAGTGCTAGCCTATACCTGTATCGTCCTGGCAATAACGAAAATATCAACTCAACAGGAATAATCGACGTGTGCAAACAGAAAGTAATGAAACACACAATAGGGGCTGTTCGGTTTGGCTGTGCAATATTCATTGATCGGTTATTATATTCTTTTGCGAATTGTTTAAAGTCCTTTAACATGGTCTGTTGCTGAGTGTGTAGACAATCATGTAATCGGTTTTGGCTAGTGCCGGGGGTACCTATGTAAATTATTAATCAATCATGTAAACAGTATTGTCTAGTACTGGTTCCAAGACTGTAGATGTGTAAAGTGTCAGTCAATCATGTAAGCAGGATTGTCTAGTACTGGTTCCCCGGCTGTAGCTGTGTAAAGTATCAGTCAATCATGTAAGCAGTATTGTCTTATACTGTTTCCCCGGCTGTAGCTGTGTAAAGTATCAGTGAATCATGTAAGCAGTATTGTCTTATACTGTTTCCCCGGCTGTAGCTGTGTAAAGTATCAGTCAATCATGTAAGCAGTATTGTCTAGCACTGTTTCCCCGGCTGTAGCCGTGTAAAGTATCAGTCAATCATGTAAGCAGTATTGTCAAGCACTGTTTCCCCGGCTGCAGCTATGCAGGGTACATGCTTCTCTGACCTCAAGGACCCTGGTAACCACACTTCTCATTGTTTGAGAACTCGTGATGGGACATGTCCCCCTTAGACTGAGAACACACATATTGATGTGCACATCCACATCTCTTCATCTGAGGTGGGAATTGCTTCTCAATGTGACTGTAGAACTCGTAGGCCGCCCTCAAGCCTGATTCCAGCGCCCCTTGTATCCAGCCATTGGACCACGACAGCGCCTCTCCCGCTAGGTATATAGGATGGTCTGAGTTGAGAAGCTGCAATAGGCTGTCGTTATATTGGTCTGGTTTTAGATACACGAATGCACCTTGAGCTGTGGGTTCGTTGAACCAGGCTTGTACTGCCCCAACTTCGAAATTATCAACGATCTCGGGGTGGATTGTTGCGACCTGTTTCACAGCGTTCTCGATTGCCTCTTCAGTTTTTTGGGCGCCGAACATTTCTGCGTCTTGGCCCCATGTGTAGACGACGAGGATTCCACGCTCGTTTTCCGGTATCCCCGATTTTTCCCAGTCTGGATAGTGTAGCTGACCTGCAAGAATAAACTATACTACTCAAAACAAGTTAAAGAACACTCACGATTGGAAGGTTGTGTGTTGCAATACCCGCCAGCCATGACAGATTAAGAATAATCATATGAAAAACTCGGCTGTCCTTTAACTTTTATTGAGTAGTGTATTTACTATTAAGCAAGACGATGATTTCATTTAAGTGAATATTTTTCAAGCCACTGTCTCAAATGTACGGTGGTCCATAAGGGACATAGAGCTGTAGTTTCAATATTTTGATATTTCACTTACTTTAAATGTAACCTTTTGCAAATTAACACACTTTATCATACAAATATGTGATAAATCATGTATAAAAACAACCGAAAACAGTACATTATATATTATCACCGCGGTGGGAATAGTTTTCTGTATTTCATTTTAGTTTTTGACATTTTTCGCTTTTGTTTTCGACATTTTCATTTTAGTTTTTGACCTTTTCGTTTTAGTTTTTGACATTTTCGCTTCACATTTCAGCGATTCAATAGCTACTTGAAAGTACATTTCCATGTTTTCGGTTGTTTTTATAGATGATTTATCTAACTTTGTCACGACAGCATTTAATATCGTGTTTGGGCCATTCAAGCCAGTGGTTGACAGAATAACAATGAACCAAGACGTTGGGATGCCATGACGCGCAATCAGCCAGGTCACACATTGTCACCATCTGTTCCCCTTTCCTGCTACGGAATGACAAGCATGGGGTACTGTAGACCTGTGTTGCCACGGAATAACAAGAATGGGGTACTATAGACCTGTATTGCCACGGAATGACAAGCATGGGGTACTATAGACCTGTATTGCCACGGAATGACAAGCATGGGGTACTATAGACCTGTGTTGCCACGGAATGACAAGCATGGGGTACTATAGACCTGTGTTGCCACGGAATGACAAGCATGGGGTACTACAGACCTGTGTTGCCACGGAATGACAAGCATGGGGTACTATAGACCTGTGTTGCCACGGAATGACAAGCATGGGGTACTATAGACCTGTGTTGCCACGGAATGACAAGCATGGGGTACTATAGACCTGTGTTGCCACGGAATGACAAGCATGGGGTACTATTGACCTGTGTCGCCACGGAATGACAAGCATGGGGTACTATAGACCTGTGTTGCCACGGAATAACCATTAAAAGAAAAGCTTGCGCTACCTGGGACCTCGTCTACACTTACGAAAATTATGGGGCGCATTTTACACATTCTACTTCGTACTATAGAACTAGTACCCCCCAGAATCCCAACGGAGAGGCAAACACGGGGTACATTAGACCTATTATCCCCCAGAATCTCAACGGATACAAGCATGCCGGGGTACTTTCAACCAATTATCTCCCGAAAACCCCACAGAAAGACAAGCATGGAGTACTTTTGACCTATGTTCCCCCGGAATCACCATGGAAAGAAATGCATGCGTTACCACGGACCTATTCTTCTGCGGAATCCCCACCTTAAGAGAATGAGAGGGGCGCATGTCACCTATTCTACTTCGGAATCCCCACAGGAAGTAAAACACTGAAACGGGGTCCAATCTCCTGTGAATCCATACGGGTACTGAGCCCTGAGAATATTCTGTCCCGGAATCCTGACGGGGTTTCGTTGTCAATGAACCTTCTACACAATGTATCCTGTACGCAATATGAGTCTTTATCAAAGCATAGCAGAAGCTTACCAATGGGTAGGTTTGTCTTGGAGAAGCCTCCCTGTAGGTTGTCCGGGTTCTGCCAGAACCTGGTCCTACACTGCAGCAAGACCTTAGTAGACGCCTCGTAGTAGATACCCTCTACTGCCTGCTGTCTTTGCCGTGTCAGGGGCACCTTCATCTGTCGGAGCACCGTCAGGGGGACGGTTATGATCACAGCATCCCCCGTGAACTCTGCCGGCTGTTTGGTGGCGTCGTTCCGACCAGTAACTCTCACGATTTTCTCTCCGTGTTGCTGTTGAACCTAATGACAGAGGGAAATAAATCCAATGTCATCATCCATGGACTTTTACAATCTATATCCCGGACCATTTAAAATAATTTGTTTCTCTTGAAGAATGACAGAGTTTCAAATATTTCGGAGGAGCTCATTTGTTCTTGTATTATGTACCTTCTAGCCAAGACAATAATTAAAGAGCGAATTTCTTTCACAGGAAGCCCCCTAAACGAAGTAAAAATATTACTGTCAGGCTCATGTTTTTTCACCTATATAAATTAGTTCATAGTACAAAAATACGAAAATAAATAAAATCTTCACCAGACCTACTGAATGTTTCGAAGTATAGCGTGTTGTGTATTGCGAAAGGATGTTTTATTCCCAAAGATATCTATTGGGCTCAATACTGGAATACTTGCACTTGTGTGCAAGAGGTTTTGACACGAGGTAGCCTCTACAGCAACAGTACTGTAAATCATAAACATAAACTTTGGACCAATATGATAATCATGCAGAGGGTTATGATGATATTTTCTCCATGGATCAGCGTCTGTGATCCTATACTGACCTCCTCAACGGCTTCTACTTTGATCCCATACCGGATGTCCTTACTCAGATCCACATCCGGGTTCCAGCCTGTTGTATTCTTCCGCATGAAGGCCTTTGCAATTTCCTCCATACCTCCAGTGGGCGTGTACAGGGGATCCTTCCACCACTCGCCTAACAACGCCCTCAGATACTCCACCAGGCTGGCGTTGATCAGGGGTATGTAGTTCCGCACTCTGTAAGCTTCAAGGGCTTTCTGCGGCCATGGTCTCAGTTTGTACTTGTCGGCTGGGCTCTGGTAGGTGTCGGACTTGAGAAACTCAAGGACAGAAAACTGGCTCCATTTCTTCACCCACCGCGCCCAACCCTTCGGGCTCGTGTCACTACGAAGCTCCGCATATACCGGGGCCACCGTCCTGTCGAAGTAGTCGTCTACAAACGGAATAATGATAATAATAATGTGTGAGTATGGTTTTACGCCGCTGGGGACGCCAGCTATGGGCTTTAAACAAATGTACACATATGAGGAATCGAGCCTGGGCCTTCGGCGTTACGAGCGAACGCTTTAACCGCTAGGCTACCTCACCGCCCCAATAATAATAATTATGAGACTGCAACTTTGTTATCACAACCCGATGGTGTGAATCGGTCACTGGTCTGAGGTCCAGACTTAAACATTAAACAACAAACACATACAACGTTTGGTATGTTCGAGGTATGGCTTGGTTTTCTTTTGCATAGGGAACTGAGATGTGTATTCAGACACTACTTACTTATTCCCTTGATGCCAAGTTCTGTTTTAAACTGCATTATTTTGGCGTCCCAGCCTTCCCAGTACTTTGTACAATACCAGTCGCTGTTGGCGTCCCATTCTGAAACACAGTCACACGAGAGTAACAGCAAAACCTACGCGCAAAGAGGACTTTGAGATTATATTCCCCGATCGAAATAAATATGTAAACCCCGTGGCTTGTCTTCTAAAACATTTTTTTTATGTCTCGAAAATATGAAAAATGTGACTTTTCCTACAACCAAAAGAGACATCAGCTCATGTAGTGTCTGAACGACGTCACACATGTCATTTTCATTTATTTGCGTCAATGCACAGATGCAACTTCGATTCACGTTGACAAGAGTCGTGTGTCCAACAAGCATAACAGTGAAGCGAGATCGTAAAGAGAAAGTCCAGTGACAGACTCATATTAGACACTTTCTCGAATTTCCTCCATTGTCCCTGTCTGTGTGAGTTGTCAGTTCTTGACAATGTTTTGTTGGTGATGGTAGCGTTTTGAAGGCATTATGCACATTCTGATATAGATACTCCACTACCGATATGCATTAGCCGTGTTGTGTGTAAGTCTACACGTGCAAGCTGTCATCATCACCTGACATCTTTATCTTGGGGTCGCCGTAGAAGGAGAGGAAGCCATTCAGGTTTTGGTTCTGAAACGGCCTTGTTGGCACGTTGAACAGGTCAATATAGTGCTTGGTGAGGTAGTGACTCTCGGGAAGCCGCATAGCACCACCTAAAAATCAATGATATATATATATATATTATTTAGTACTGCGCCCCTTTAAGTCAATGACATTATATAGAATAGCATTTCTTGAAATCAATATTATTCAGTATGGTACCCCCTGAATCAATCATATTCCACAATCGTCGGCGGCATGGGTTGCTCAGTCGTCTAAGGCACCGCAATTTCATGGGTTCGAATCCCACATTCACCCTGATTATGTTTCTCGGTTGTCGGCACATGATCCTCTTGGGTCCCGGCGAAAGTGGTAAACGCCTAGATTTGTATCGGGGTCATGGGTTGTCCAGTCGTCTACGGCGCCGCGATTCGCTGTGGAGAGTTGCGTCCCTTGGGCACGCCAGAAACCTATGATTGTGGGTTCGAATCCCGGTTCGCCCCGATTATGTTTCTAGGTTTGTCAGCACTATACCCGTGCTCGTGGGTTTCACCGAAGCGGTAAACGTCTGAGACCTGCATCACTTCGGGCTTTCCTCCCACATTAAGCTGACACGCTGCGATATAACTGGAATACTATTAAAAGCGGCGTTAAACCCAACCCACTCACTCACTAGATTTGCATCGCTGCGGGGTTTCTTCCCACTTAAATGTCGTGATTGTATTTCCAAGCAGACGCAATATCCACTATGCGACGGAGGCAGTTACATGCTAAGGAAGCTTTCATATTATTCGCACACAGTTTACAAAAGTATAATACATTAAATTTCTAGGATTAAGAATAACCTACCTTCTGCATGGAGTCCATCTGAAAATTTGTCTTTGATAGTCTTAGTTCGTCCACCAACTCTGTGCTGTATTTCCAGGAGCGTTACCTTCAAATTGATTGATTGACTACAAAACACAATCCTAATGAAACAGGGGAACACCATTATAAGGTCCTGAAATAGTATAATATCATAGACTATCCTTATTTAACATATAAATGTGGTAGCCAAGTAGAAGATCTAGAATCGTTCGTTTATCACACCGAAGACCCGTATAACCTAACAGTCGGCAGAATTCCACCGTAGTCTGTCTCAAGTTCCTGAACCATATTATTTTCCCTTCCATTTTATATTAAACAAACTATATGTGATCTTGTATCTTTGGAGTGGTGAAATCTCAAAAGGGACACGCCGTGTCATAACTGTAATGCTGTTAAAGACGGCCTTTAACCCAACACAAAGACACTAGTCCTGAGACTAGTGAATAGTCTCACAGTTCCTGAACCATATTATTTTCCCTTCCACCCAGATTTTTCTGTAATGCAAAAGTCCTAAATTAAGCAAGTCTAGATTTTCCTCTGTCACTGAGGCTCCGTTACAATTTAAATGGAGTTTTCAGACACTCAACATTAGTCTAAATGCACCTATTCGGCGACTATGGTTTTACGCCGCTTTAAGCAATATTCCCACAATATCACGCCGGGGAACACCAGAAATGAAGTCCCACTTTGTAACAGAATGGGGAATCGAAGCCGGGACTGTGGACTGACGAACGAAAGATTTAACCACTAGACCAGCACCTCTCACTCACAAAACAAATAATTACATAATTATAAAAAAGGAAGAAAGGAGATTGATCAGATAATCACTTGATGACCAGCCTGTCTCAACTCATACGCCGCCGACAGACCAGACGTTCCGGCCCCTACAACGATCACGTGCTTCCGGTGATGCGTGGTCTTCCTGTAGTGGTCTTGGGGATTAGGCAGGTTCATTTTGGCGTACACATAATCCAGTCCCCCGTCAATGAGGGCATCGTAAAATGGCTTTGAGGTTAAGTCCTGCTGTTCTGGGGGGTAGTCTGTTTTTCTGCACGTGCAACCGAGCGTGTTGCAGTGACTCGAAGCCCTGTTGTACAAGCCGGATGTGACGTCATCGAGAGCTGACAAGTGTGGGCGACGTAGATATTGAGGAACGGAGTCACTGTCCATGTTGGCTGGAAAGAGAACAGATTGTTAAATGGCCACTGTGGAATTTGGTACTATGGTCATGGAAGTCATTGGGTGAAGTGAGGTGTAGTTGGTGTCGATACGATGCGGTGCGTTGCGGTGCGGTGCCGAGCGGAGATATTGAACACTTTGGTTGTAATATTGCATGGTGTTCAGACTTAGGCGGTGTGGTCGTGATTAAATTAGGCGTTGTGGTGGGGACAAAATGTCCATGATGATTTGGTCGAAAATACACTTGGATACACTTGACTTGAAGTTTGCCCTTACGTTATTAAAGGTCTTAGTACAGTGTCTTGCGGTGCGGTGCGGTTGGGTGCGGTGTTGTGCGGTGCGGGACGGTTGGGTGCGATGCGGTTGGGTGCGGTGTGTCGCGGTGCGATGCGGTTGGGTGCGGTGTGTCGCAGTGCGGTGCGGTTGGGTTTGGTGCGGTGGGTGTGGTGTGGTGTGGTGTGGTGCGGTGCGGTGCGGTGCGGTGCGGTGCGGTGCGGTGCGGTGCGGTGCGGTGCGGTGCGGTGCGGTGCGGTGCGGTGCGGTGCGGTGCGGTGCGGTGCGGCTGGATGCCCGGCGGTTGGGTGCGGTGTTGTGCGGTGCGGGACGGTTCGGTGCCATGCGGTTGGGTGCGGTGTGGTGCGGAGCGGTGCGGTGCGGTGCGGTGCGGTGCGGTGCGTTTGGATGCCCGACGGTTGGGTGCGGTGTTGTGCGGTGCGGGGGGTTGGGTGCCATGCGGTTGGGTGCGGTGTGGTGCGGAGCGGTGCGGTGCGGTGCGGTGCGGTGCTGTGCTGTGCGGTGCGGTGCGGTGCGGTGCGGTGCGGTGCGGTGCGGTGCGGTGCGGTGCGGTGCGGTGCGGTTGGATGCCCGACGGTTGGATTCCCGACGGTTGGGTGCGGTGTTGTGCGGTGCGGGGGGTTGGGTGCCATGCGGTTGGGTGCGGTTTGGTGCGGTGCGGTTTGGTGCGGTGCGGTTTGGTGCGGTGCGGTTTGGTGCGGTGCGGTGCGGTGCGGTGCGGTGCGGTTGGATGCAGGACGGTTGGGTGCGGTGTTGTGCGGTGCGGGACGGTGCGGTTGGATGCCCGACGGTTGGGTGCGGTGCAGTGCGGTGCGGTGCGGAGCGGAGCGGTGCGGTTGGGTGCGGTGTGGTGTGTTGCGGTGCGGTTGGATGCAGGGCGGTTTGGTGACGTGCAGTGTTGTTGGGTGCGGTGCGGTTGGGTGCGGTGTGGTGCGGAGCGGTGCGGTTTGGCGGTGTGTGGTGTGTTGCGGTGCGGTTGGATGCAGGGTGGTTTGGTGACGTGCAGTGTTGTTCGGTGCGGTGCGGTTGGCTGCGATGCGGTGCGTTGAGGTGTGATGCGGTGCGGGACGGTTGGGAGCGGTGCAGTGTCGTTAAATGCTGTGCGATTGGGTGCGGTGAATTGCGGTGTGATTGGAGGCGGTGTGGTGCGGTGCGGGACGATTGGGTGCGGTGAATTGCGGTGTGGTTGGATGCGGTGCGATGCGGTGCGGTGCGGTGCGGTGCGGTGCGGTGCGGTGCGGTGCGGTGCGGTGCGGTGCGGTGCGGTGCGGTGCGGTGCGGTGCGGCACTGTGATGCTTGAACTCTGGATCCGGTGGTAATGGGAGGCATCATCAAGCCCGCACAAGACACTTAATGTGATACAAATTACACTACCGCATTAGGATAACCGTAAGCTAATAGGCGAACTACAGGTATCATAATAATGTAACCTGAAGAAGTCATTGCTGCCGTCTTAATTACACAAACATGCCATAATCGCAATCACACTTTTCTTTGAAATTCAAAGACAGGGGGAGATAACCGATGTTGTATATTTAAAATGGGCAACACAGAAGCATATGTTATCTGTTGATCTGCCATTCCGACCAAGGTATCAGGATCAAAATGGCGGACACCACTAAACCGGTATCGGTTTTGGTTTTCAACCTGGAATTATTATTAATCACTTCGGGTGCCCCACATCAAGCTGACACGCTGTGATATCACTGTTTAAAGCGGCGTTAAACTCTACTCGCACAGTCACTCATGTTTATGTAGAATCATGACCTGATCACACAATGAAATTTGGAAAGCCTCCGTGGTTTAGTGGTAGAGCGTCCGCCCGGAGAGCGGAAGGTCCAGGATTCGATCCCCGGCCGCGTCATACCAAAAGACGTTAAAATATGGTACTTGTTGTTACCCTGCCTGGCGCTCGGCATTAAAAGGCTATAACAAGGACTTGTCGGCTATACTGTGTCTGAGTGGGGTATTCATGTTTTACTGCGGCATGGTATCTCAGTGTGCTAGCACTATAAATCGGCATCTGTCCGGACGAGTAAAAGCACGCACGCACGCACACACACACACACACACACACACGTGCATGCACGTCGCTATATAAGTGGAATAATCTTGGACGCGACGTTAAACCCAATTACACCTCACAATGAAATTTACTCCCGGAAGTAAATAGCGTGTGGGGCTCTTCATATCTTGCCATGTCAATCGTGCACTTAATAGTAGATAAATAGTTAAAAATTAATATTTACCTTCACAGTGATTTACTACTGTAAGCCCTTTCTGCATTTTTGAACATCTACAGTTAGGACAAAATAAGTCAAATACGTTCATTTGCCATAGAAACCGAGCTGATATTTTATAGTAACTAGGAGTACGATTCCATTAAAAGTATTCAAGTCATCTGTATTTCTACTTTTTAGTTCTTTTTATTATAGTTTGTATTAACAAAATTCATATATAATTCAAGAATTATTTATCTTTTCTTCAATCATAATTATTTGATTTTGGGGACTTCACTGTTAACAACATCACTTGTGTGATTTGCTAAACACAGTTAACGTCAATGAGTGGTTTTATTGCGCTTTTAATGCATTGAGTGTTTCATGGGCCATGCACATAGGTTGAGCCGTGAGTCCAAACTTATGTCTTACATTTCATTCTATTCTAAATCGTCTTCGTTTCATTTTTCACAAAGCTTGGGTCAAAAGTGGCCCGGTCGTTTAAAATGTAACAATTCACTGTGCAGAGGTGCGTCCTTTGCGCGAGCCAGAATCCTATGATTATGGGTTCGAATCCTGGTCCGCCCTAGGTTTTTCAGCACCATAACCAGTGCCTTTGGATTTCACCAAAGTGGTAAAAAGACATGCTTTCCGCTCACATTAAGCTGACATGCCATAATATAACTGGAATACTGTTCCAAGCGGAGTAAAACAGAACTCGCTCACTCACTTACTAAATTACGACGCCGTTCTCGGGTCGCACGACAGATTCACAAAGCGGCGATTCCCCTACCGTCACGTGCCGGCGGTTAAAAAAAAAATGTGTACTTTATCGGGAACCTCGCTGTAATAGTCTCAGATGGAAAATGTATAAGTTAACATCAGCGAATACTCCGTACCTACGTCAGAGATGCCCGGGATACTGGGGTTTATGCGCTAACGGGATAATACCGAATGTGATTTAATAGTTGAAAGTAAATTCGTAAAATGTCACCACTGTAGAATAAAAACTCCCTCTAACCATGTGGTGTATACTAGTTCCCCTTACAAAGACTGCCTGGATTAGTCAGCTACCTACCTTAGCGTCCGCTGGATGTTCAAATGAAAGGAAGTGTCCCGTATTTTTATATATACTGTGTTCCAGTCACATGACTATGTCTCAATCAAAGCGAAAATAGGAATTTTTGACGTTTAAGAAAAAACAGTTTCGATCAGACGTAGGGAAGGTGTGTATTGATATAGCAGAAATAATTTTTCCTCGTCATTTGAGAAAATAAAGTTTCAAACAATAGGGACATTCAGCATCCAATTTTACAGCCCGTCAGCCCCTGCAGTATAGTATATCGCACGTGATAACCCCGGTATTTGATAACATTTTAACCTTTGATTTCTGTTTATGTCATATCAATATCGCCATGTATCACTTCTATTACTAGCGGATGAGGTTTCTTCGTCTGTTGCACGTATGACGCGAAACTTTCATGAAAGTATGTATGGAATATTTTAATACGGCAAACTACGTTTATAACGAACTGACGGATATAACGAACTCACTTTTTTGTCCCGACTATTTGCTGTAGTTATACTGTATATATGCTTGTAATGAACTACGGTTGTAACGAACTACAATTAGTTGTCCCTTTGAGTTCGTTATAACCGTAGTTTACTGTAATTTTAAGGAAGAAGCAATAGGACAGTCCAGTGGTTCTACTGGACCAATTACATTTCTTATCAAACCATATTCACGTGTCCACGAAGTTCTTAAGCAAGAAATCCAGGGTCACTAAAATGCTCTGTCAGGGGTGGGGTGGCTTGGGGGGGGGGGGGGGGGGGGGGTAGGGGAGTAGTGAGCTCCAGGAATTGTGTCTTGCAACAAATCAAAACTCTGTTCAGTGTAATCCCGTTGATATAGAACCATTATCCATTAACTTAGCTAATCAGGACGATCCCATTGGATACGGTACCATCTGGATTAACGAGGTTGTACTGTAATTGAATACTTTTTGCAGTAATGTAACAAATATTCTACTAACATAATCTTATACCGAAATAACCACAAACGTGTATCAGTTACGCAGAGCATGGTCACCTGACCGCTTGCCGTTTGTTGAAACTCTGATCTGTCTAAGCTAAGACATTGATAGGATTTATCACTGTCAATATTAACTTTGTGGTTGTCAGTCACGTAGCTAGGGCTCAACTTTAATAAATATAACGGTGAATTAGAGTGGTTATTACACATATAGTGTTACATTGAGGGCGGTGAGTACACATGTAGTGTCACATTGAGAGCGGTTATTACACATATAGTGTTACATTGAGAGCGGTTATTATACATATAGTGTTACATTGAGAGCGGTTATTACACATATAGTGTTACATTGAGAGCGGTTATTATACATGTAGTGTCACATTGAGAGCGGTTATTACACATATAGTGTTACATTGAGAGCAGTTATTATACATATAGTGTTACATTGAGAGCGGTTATTACACATATAGTGTTACATTGAGAGCGGTTATTACACATATAGTGTTATTATTGTTATTAGTTCGATACCGAAATTC